AGTTTGTGCTTTGTTAGACTTACTATGACATAATTTTATAATACCTTTTTTTGTTTACTTTGGTATTTGTATGAAATTATAACACCTTGGAGCTTAACTGGATGTCATTATGTAATTTTTTTTACATCTAATGTCTTTGTGTTTTCGAAGATTAATGTCGGTACGTATCGATTAATAACGACATTATTACCGGTGGCAACATAATAGCGACGATAACAGTTATTACCAGGATTCATTACTATGGATGACATTTTGATCATTAGCGACGGGACAACTAAGGTGACCTGTTGCAATTATTACTTTTACCGGCAACAAATCTTACGACGATTTAAGTCGCCGCTAATAATAGTTTTTCTTGTAGTCTAAGGCTCACAGGCTCGAGTGGTCAAAGTGCTATGTTAAAAATTAAAACAGTGAAAAATATAAGGTTATAAAATAAAAGAATTGCAAATGACTTCAAATATGAGGGATTAAAGTTACAAGGTATGCATTGATATACTTGAACATTATTCATGAAGTATGCTACTTTTAGTCATAGTACAATTCTCTCACAAATGAAAAACTTGTTTTTTTTATATTTATAATTAATAAAAATATATATTTGAAACAAATTTTAAAAAGTTCTATAAGCCGGATAAAAAGTTAGTCAGTGTAGCTTTAAAAAATAAAAAAAATAATAAAATAAAAAAAAAATAAAAAAAAAAAAGCCTATAAGTTATTTTTTCATTTATCAAACTTGACAATCTTAAAAAAGTTTGAAAAAAGAAATGGTTGCCGTACGCTAGACACAATATGAGTAGCTTCTCATTAGTTTTTTTTCAAAATTTCTCATTATTAATGAAATAAAACTAGTCTTTCTAAATGCCTTTTTTGTTCTCTCTCTCTCTCTCTCTATATATATATATATATATATATATATATATATATATATATATATATATATATATATATATATATATATATAGAGAGAGAGAGAGAGAGAGGGGTTGAAATGAGAACCAAAAAAGGTTAAAAACCGTAAGAAACTCTAACTTTAGATGTTTATAAAGAGTTTAGGGTTACCCTAAACCCTAAACCCTTTATAAACACCTTAAACCTTTTATAAACACCCTGAACACTAAACCCTTTATAAACATCTAAAATTAGAGGTTATTAACCTTTTTTAATTCTCATTTGAACCTTTATATATATATATATATATATATATATATATATATTATATATATATATATATATATATATATATATATATATATACTAGTTTATAACCCGTGTAAACTACGGTTATAAAATTAATTAAATTTTTATACTAAAAATTTAAAATTATTAATCAATTATTTTAACTAAATTATTAATTAAGAGATATTTTTATTAGTTATGTGAAATTATAATCGTTGATTTAAATAAATATGTAAAATTAATTTTTAATATATATTAGACATTTTTTATTTGTGAATTAATTAAAACAATAATATAAAATTCAAAATTCAAATTCAAATTTAAAATAGAGAATAAATATATTGACAAATAACATCACATTAATGAGGAAGTCTAATACATTTAAAATGGAGAACTTATAGATTGACAAGTGGCAACACATTAATTAAGATGTCTAATATGATGACACATGACAAAATAACTACTATTTTATTAGTATAGGGATATATATATATATATATATATATATATATATATATATATATATATATATATATATATACATACATATATATATATATATATATATATATATATATACATTTAAGTGTTTTGCAGCAAAATAAACTTATGGCTGGTAATAATTCCTGGTTCTTAATTTTTTTTCTCTATCTCTCACTTTTTCTCTCTCTCTTTATATATATATATATATATATATATATATATATATATAATATATATATATATATATTATATATGCTCGTTAGTTTATCAACTACTTTTATCAAACATTATTTTTTATTAACTAGTTTATAAACTAATAGCCAATTTTTCAAGTAACACATTCTTAATTAATGTTGATTTTGATAAAGTATTTGACTCTATTAATTGGGAATATCTAGATTCAGTTCTTGCTCAAATGGGATTTAGGAATAAATGGTGATCTTGGATATTTTGCAGGTTTTCATCTTCTTGTGCTTCTGTATCGATAAATGGTACCCCAACTAAAGAGTTCATGATTACAAATGGTGTTAGGCAAGGTGACCCATTATTACCTTTTCTATTTACTGTTGTTATGGGGGTCTCAATGTGGTGTTAAAGATTGCAAGGGACAAAAACATATTTAAAGGTGTGAAAATACATGGTAATGGTTCATCAATATCCCACCTTTTTTATGCAAACAAGGCTTTATTTGTGGGGGCATTGTGTCGTTCTAATATAAAAAATCTTGCAAGTATACTCAAATGCTTTCATGTTACATTGGGTCTTAAGGCCAACTTCCACAAATCCACAATTCATGGTATTGGAGCTCCCACGTCCGAAATCAGTAAATAGGCTAGTCTCCTGGGATGTGAGGTAGGCTCGTTTCCATTAATCTACCTTGCGGATCCTGTTGATGCAAACTTGCACGTCAAAAAGAATTAGAATCCTATTATTTAGAAATTTCAAGCTAAGCTTTCTAAATGGAAAGCTAAAACCTTGTCATTTGGGGGATGTTTAACACTCATCAAAGTCGTGTTGGCGAATCTCCAATGTATTACTTGTCACTCTTTAAAGCACCCGCTGGAGTTAATAACAAAATCGAGAAATTGAGAAAGAAATTCTTGTGGGGTGGAGATGAAGAAAAGAAAAAGATACATTGGATGTCATAGGAGAAAGTTATTGCTAATGAGAATGGTGGCCTAGGAGTTGGTTCCATTAGAGCACTTAATATACCACTTTTGGTAAAATAGTGGTGGATGTTGAGAAATGAATCTTCATCCTTATGGCGTAAAGTCATTTATGGAATTCACAATCTATCTAACAAACTGGTTAATTACTTGTCAAAGAAAATGATCTCGAGTGTATTGAACAATATATTAGGTATCAAGAAAGAAATTGGAGAGTTAGGTTTTGGCTATGATTATATATTTCAGCAGGTGATGAAATCAAGGGACTATATCCAGTTTTGGCAAGAATTTTAGATTAGGTCCTGTAAATTAAAGATTGCATTCCCATTAATTTATGAGATCGAATCACTGAAGCGATGTATGGTGAACACCAGGATACTTGCAGACATAATCTATTGGGGATGGTGCTCTTGTCCAATCAATGCGGGACATACTACTGTGTTACAAAATTTAGTAGATATCATTGTGCGTACTCGTTTGCAATCGAGTCTAGATGGTATAAAATGTAAGTTGAGCCGCGAAGGAACTTACAAGGTTAATATATTCAAGCAAAACATAGATCAATTACTATAACCTTTTAATCAATAAGTAACCGTAAATGGAGTAAAATATCCCTATTAAGGTAACTTGTTTTGTATGGAGAGCTCTCCGTGGGAGGATCCCTCAGCGGTTGCACTATCCTACAGAGGTCTTAATCTTGACTCGACTCTATGTGGATCATGCATTTGTGAGTCCGAGTGTGCCAACCACATCCTTGTTAGTTGCCTATTTGCTGCTCTGGTACGTGAGAAGATCTTCAAGTGGTGTGGAATTAATTGATCTGCTAGACGCACACGGAGTGGGGGACATTATGGACTTTGCTACAAAATGGGGAAGTAATACTAAAAAACGAAAAATATTCATTACTATCTGTTACGGTTTGCTTTTAGCGCTTTCGAAAGTTAGAAATGAATGGGTGTTTTAGGCAAGAATTAACATCCTATCCAAAGTAGTTGAATGTTAAATACCTGCTATTTTTTTGGATTAATAACAGGGGTAATGGTGGTTTTTGTAGATGGGAATATTGAGTTGTTTCATCTTTTTTTGATGTAATTGTACCTGAATTCCATGTTTTGATTTGGGTCCTTATTTAGCTTCTTTCTTTGGCGTATACCCTTAATAAATCTATTGTCATTTCAAAATTAAAAAAAAAAAAAAAAAAAAACTATGTTAAAATAATAAGAAATTAAATTGTTTCCTATATTTTATGTCTACAAATATTCCTACCCACTAACATTATTACAAGTGTCATTATTTTATATTTCTTTTAACTATCTCATTAAGAATATTTTAAAAGGGTGTTTGGATCGGAAAAAAATAGGCTGTTTATTGCTTATTGCTTATTGTTTAATCCCACCGCAATAAACAAATTTAAGTGTTTGGATATGAGTCTTTAAGAATCAGCTTATTGCAGTAGAAATAAACCTAATAAACTGATTTTAATATGTAAGGAGAGAAATGTTTATTGCTTATTGCTTATTGGTCATTTTACTCATATAAACTATTTTATTTGTTAAAAACTTACAATGTTTATTGTTTATTGTTTATTATTACCGCAATAAGCTAATCCAAACATATTTTAAAAAATGTTTATTCCCACCGCAATAAGCAAATAAGCAATTAGCTAATAAACTAAAAACTATTTATCCAAATACCCCTAAGAATATATCAAATCAAATTAAACTAAATGTTAGAATGATGACATGTGTCATCATATTAGTGTGTATGAATATTTTTAGGCATAAAAATAAAAAGACAATTTAATTCTCAAAGATAATTAAATATTTTTGAGGTGAATAAAGTTATTTTAATGTTTTCTTTCTTTGGAAGCTAGATAACGTAGCGACTTCACATACATTAATGTTCTTAAAGTAAATTTTTTATGTTAACAAGTTCTCAAAATATTTAATTAACACATTATACGAAACTATTCTATTTTTGAAAAGCACAACTATAAAATATAACATTTTTTTTGTAACAGAAACATTTATTAAAAATGTGACGAACAGGAGGCTGGACCACAAAGATACAAGAATAAAATATAACAATTAAAAACAAATAATAGATTAAAAATAATTTTGACTTCATCTATAAATAGACGCATTCCAAGAAGAGTTGAGTATCATTTTTCTCATTTTCTGTGTGAGAGATATGGAAGTCACTCAGGTGCTTCATATGAACGGTGGAGCTGGAGATTATAGCTACTCCAACAATTCTCTTCTTCAGGTGCTATTCATACTAACCTATCCCTTCCATAAATGCGACATATATATATATATATATATATATATATATATATATATATATATATATATATATATATATATATATATATATATATATATATATATATATATATATATATATATAAACAACGTTTATTAATTAAAACTTCTTTTGTAACAGAGAATCGTCATATCAATGACAAAACCCATAATGGAAGAAGCTTTGACAAATCTTTACGATGCTATGAACTTCCCTAAAACCCTAACCATGGCAGATCTTGGGTGTTCATCTGGATCAAACACTTTACTGGTGGCATCGGAGTTCATAAAGATCTTAGACAAGATAACCCAGAAAGTAGGTCATGGTCAATTGCCTGAAATGCAAATATATCTGAATGATCTCCCAAATAATGATTTCAATGCCATTTTTGATTCCCTATCAAAATTCCATTTGAACATTACGACACAAATTACCTCCACTACGTCTTCTCCACCTTGCTACTTCTCTGGTGTAGCTGGATCATTTTATACCAGGCTTTTTCCCAGCAACAGCATTCATTTTTTCCACTCTTCCTACAGTCTCATGTGGTTGTCCCAGGTCTCTCTCTCTCTCTCTCTCTCTCTCTCTCTCTCTCTCTCTCTCTCTCATGAATAGATGTACTAATGAATCTTTCTTGAGCAGATTCCTGAATTTCATAACACAAACAAAGGGAACATATATATGTCAAGAACAAGCCCAACAAGTGTAATAAAAGCATATCGCGAGCAATTTCACAAAGATTTCCTCGTTTTTCTCAATTGTCGTGCGAAGGAGATGGTAAGTGGTGGTCGTATGGTTTTGACGATACTAGGGAGAAGAAGTTCTGACCCTCGTAGCAAAGAATGTTGTTACATTTGGGAGCTCTTGGCGACAGCCCTAAACGACATGGTTTTAGAGGGGCTCATAGAAGAAGGTAAAATGGACTCCTTTGATATTCCACAATATGCTCCTAGTGCTAAAGAAGTCAGTACCGAAGTTGAGAAAGAAGGTTCATTCGGAATTGATCGATTGGAGGTTTCTGAAGTTAATTGGGATGCATATGCAGATAATTGTCCCAATCCACCGAAGTATGCGGAAAGAGCATACAATGTGGCGAAATATATGAGAGCAGTGGCTGAACCTATGCTTTTAAGTCACTTCGGAGAGTCTATAATAGACGAGGTCTTTCTAAGATATAAGAATATACTTGCAGATCGAATGTCAAAAGAGAAGACAACGTTTGTCAATGTTACTATTTCAATGACGCGGAAATGTTGATATTTTCATGGTTTAATAGATATGGTATCAATTTACTGTGAAGTTAGAAATCTGAAAATGTATGGATTATCGAATCCTCCTTAATAAATCAAAGTTTTTTTTTTCGAATGTCTTTTTCTTTTTTATTTAGACACATGTCATTTTTTAAAAATTTTTGAATTTTTTTGTTTTCCACTTGTTATTTTATTGTATTTTTCATTTTATGAAGTTAAAATATCACATTTAATATGTACGGTATTTATTAGAAATAATTTATATATGTAATGTATTCAATGTATTAAAGCCTCAATAATTTTAATAATTTTTTTTTTCTCATTTTATTATAAATTTAAACTTCTTAAATTGTTAAATTTTCATATGTAATTTTTTTAAAATAAATTAATGTAATATATGAGTCTTACACCTAGTCTTCCCTAATAAATGAAAATAAATTTGTCACATGTCACACTTTTATTAACTTGGACACATGTCATTTTTTGGTATTTTTGAATAAATGTTTTTTTTTTTTTCATTTGTCATTTTCTCATTTCTTTTTATCTTTTCTTAATTAACACATCATATTTACATCTCAATTAATAATTACGTTAATTGAAAATTGAAAATAACCAATAAATCACAATATTACTACTCATATAGTATTTAATATGTTTTTTTTTTAATTCAAATTTTAAATTTTAAATTTAAATCTAAAATTTCAAATTTAAATAAATTTTTGTTTAAACCTTCATATTTAATTTTTTGTTTTATCCAACCCGTATAACATATGAGTTTCACAACTAGCAATAATAATAATATGAGAGTTGATATTTCCACTGGTTTTTTTTATACATCAACATAATTTTAAAAGAAATTGATAGTTATGCCCTTTAAATTTAGAGTATAATTAATTATAAATGTAACACCCATAATCAGAAAGACCAAGAAAGGAAAAGGAAACCCTAGGTCAAAGGGGTCAACTCGACGAGTCCGAGCGAGATCCGGGTCGAAGAATAAGTGACCGACTCGACGAGTCGGAAAGTGGACTCGACGAGTCCGATCTGGATTGGGAAGCCCTAAGTTCGGGACTTGGTGCCCTATATAAACATCTCATTCTCTCCCTTAGGGTTCTCTATAGCCTCTCTTACCCATAACATGAAACCCTAAGTCTCCATTTTTGCACATTCAAGCTCTTTTGCCATTTTCGGTGATTTAAAGGAGGAAGGGAACCTTTGGTGATTCAATGATTGGCTTTAGATCCAGAGTTGGTGTGACTTTTCAGATCCCTTGAGGTAATAAGCTGACCTTATTGCATTTAGATCTATCTTATGGTTGAGTTTTGGGCATTTTTGAGTATGGAGGAGGTTTATTCTGAGTTTGGAGTAGATCTGAGGTTGCAACCTCAGATCTAGGCTATTAAGGATCCAGAAAGCATAAAGTTTATGCCAATAAGTTGTTGGTGAAGCCCTTTGGTCACAAAACCTAGCCCTAGAGTGTTTTAAGCCCATATTTTGTCGGTTTCACGTAAAGTTTGCAACTTTACGTGAGGAATAGACTTGGGAATAGTGGATCTTTGAACTGGAGCCCCTGCAAGGCTCGAAAAGCCACTGTATGGATTAAGAACTGAAGTGACTCGGCGAGTCACATGGGTGAACTCGGCGAGTTGGATGAAGATGGGCATGGACTCGACGAGTTGGAAGAACAACTCGATGCGTCTATTGAAGATTGTCATGGACTCGTCAAGTCTGTTCTTTGACTCGGCGAGTCAGGTCACGAAGCACTAACCCCTCCTGCTTAAGGCTTAGATCAGTGAGTTGAGTGGTGACTCAGTGAGTTGGGTAGGATGGGACTCAGAGATCGTTGAACTCGACGAGTCTTGGGGTGACTCGATGAGTCTTGGGGTGACTCGGCGAGTTGAGTCATTTTATAGGAGTTTCTGAATGCATGGACTCGACGAGTCTTGGGGAGACTCGGCGAGTAGAGTCAGTCAAGAAGGTTGAATTTGACCAGGAATTTGACTTTGGCAAGAGTGGACGTAGATGGGTTCTAAGAGTTCAATTTGGGACTAAGTGTTATATGATATTGATATTGATAGCTTGGGCAGTTAGTGGAGCAGTGGTTCAGAGAAATATCGGACAGTAGCCATAGGGTTATCAGCAAGTTCAGTAGTGCAGGTGAGTTTCCCTTTGTGTGAATGGGTTTACGGCCACAATGCCGGCCCATGTAGTTATGAGAAAGAAGACACGGGGGTTAGCCCTAGGCACTGTTTGCTAGTATGATATTCCGAACCAAGGTCCGATGTCGGGCGGGTGCCCAAGGAATGGTTTGCATGTTAGGGTATACTTGTTGTCTGTGTGATGCATGTATGTGCCTGGTAGGAAGGTGAGTATGGACGAGGTCCCGTATCTCACCAATAGTAGAGTATGGACGGTGTTCCATATCTCATTAGTAGCAGAGCATGGGCGAGGCCCGAGATAGGCATGGAGTGAGTGTGGGTGTGGCCTGTATCTCAGTTACCGTAGGTGCTTGGACGGGGTTCCATGACTCACTAGTGATAGGACAGGGGCGAGGCACAAGACAGGCGAGGCCTAAGGACAGGATTACAGTAAGGTACGCTCATTTATGTGTTATATGCTAATTATATTATGCGGTTAGCGGGCGGGGCCCAGAGACAGGCGGGGCCTAAAGGAAACAGATTTGTATCTGAGCGAGGCTCAAAGCCAGGCGGGGCCTGGAGCGGCAGGGCTGTTATAGTGGGCGTGGCCCAGCACATGCAGTATGTATGCTTTGTGATTGTATGGTATGTGGTAGGTTTGGGAACTCACTAAGCTTCGTGTTTACGGTTTTCAGTTTTGGTTTCATATACTTCCGGTATTGGAGGGAAGAGCTCGGGGTGATCGCATGCCACACACCATTGATTAGTTAGCCTGGGATGTTTTACTCTGATAAAGAAACTATGTTTTGGAATTAATACTCTGAATTATGTATTGTGTTACGATATGTTTTTCTAAAAATGGTTTTATTAATGATTTAAAGAAAAAAATTTGGTTTGGATTTTTGGGATGTTACAAGTTGGTATCAGAGCCTTGGTTAGAGGGATTCAGACATACTCTCGGGTGTGTCTAAACTCAAACTAAGGGAATGGTCTAAAAGTTTTCAAAATGAAAATACAGTTTTGGTAAAAAGAGATTTTAGAAAGGAAACAGTTTTAGAAAAGCAAAAAGAATTCAGAAAGAAAAAGAACTTTGATAAGAGAAAAGGGTGTGGTGCATGTAATCAGTCGAGCTCAAGTAAGTACCCTAAAATACCCATACAAGTCTATGTTATGTTTATCAGTTAGTAGAGCAGCATGCTAGATTAGGACTAAGGATCTAGGGAGGATACCTTATGTACCTGTTATATGTGCTTTGAGATGCATCATAGTGCTAATTAGACAGTAGTTGGATAGCCTATTTAGGTTATGCCTTAATTTGTGAGCTTATGCCGCATGCTAATGTAGATTCTTGATATGAAATTATTATTGTTGAGTATGTTATGGTTAGATTTTTCCCTTGTCCGAATGTTTCTTGCTTTGTGCATTGTGGGATTCTGAGTGATGGGAGTTAGCCATTAGGTGAACACGTCACATCACATGTGATCAGGGTTGAATAATCTCAAAGTGCTAGATTTGGCCCTATCGCACAACTCTTATCTGAGTCCAACTACTATAGGGACGAGTCTTCTACTCGAAGGATTATCTAAGCCTCGTCACATGTGATGGTATTCAGGTGATGGCTAATTGGCATCACAAGGAGTCCTTCAACAACTAAGGACTGGTTTGAATTGATTCAGAGGTTTCCCTAGGGTAAGCCTCGGATGAGATAGTGTTGGGAGCAGTAATAGTAGAAAAAGGGGCATGGTAGAATGGATATATGAGTTGGAGCCCCTGGATGGCTCGAAAATCCACTGTATGGATTAAGAACTGAAGTGACTCGGCGAGTCACATTGGTGAACTCGGCGAGGTGGATGAAGATGGGCATGGAATCGACGAGTTGGAAGAAAAACTCGGCGAGTCTATTGAAGATTGTCATGGACTCGGCAAATCTGTTCTTGGACTCGGCGTGTCAGGTCGCGAAGCACTAACCCCTCCAGGTTAAGGCTTAGATCAGTGAGTTGAGTGGTGACTCAGTGAGTTGGGCAGGATGGGACTCAGAGATCGTTGAACTCGATGAGTCTTAGGGTGACTCGGCGAGTTAAGTCGTTTTATGGGTGTTTCTGAATGCATGGACTCGACGAGTCTTAGGGAGACTCGGTGAGTAGAGTCACTCAAGAAGGTTGACATTGACCAGGAATTTGAATTTGGCAAGAGTGGACTTAGACGGCTTCTAAGAGTTCGGTTTGGGACTAAGTGTTATATGATATTGATATTGATAGCTCGGGGAGCTAGTGGAGCAGCGGTTCAGAGAATTATCGGACAATAGCCAGAGGGTTATCAGCAAGTTCAATAGTGCAGGTGAGTTTCCCTTTGTGTGAATGGGTCTACGGCCATAATGCCGACCCATGTAGTTATGATTAGGAAGACCCGGGGTTAGCCCTAGGTACTTTTTGCTAGTATGATATTCTGGAGCAAGGTCTGATTTCGGACGGGTGTCCAAAGAATGGTTTGCATGTTAGTGTATACTTGTTTTCTGCGTGATGCATGTATGTACCTGGGAGGAAGGTGAGTGTTAGCGAGGTCCCGTATCTCACCAATAGCAGAGTATGGACGTTGTTCCATATCTCATTAGTAGTAGAGCATAGGCGAGGCCCGAGATAGGCATGGAGTGAGTGTGGGAATGGCCTGTATCTCAATTACCGTAGGAGCTTGGACGGGGTTCCATGACTCAATAGTGACAGGACAAGGGGCAAGGCCCAAGATAGGCGAGGCCTAAGGATAGGATTACAGTAGGGTATGTTTAGTTATGTGTTATATATGCTAATTGTATTATGTGGTTAGCGGTCGGGGCGTGGAGACAGGCGGGTCATAAAGGAAACAGATTTGTATCCGTGCGGGGCTAGAAGCCAAGCGGGGCCTGGAGCGGCGTGACCGTTGTAGCGGGCGGGGCCCAAGGTAGCGGGCGAGGCCCGAAATAGCAGGAGTGGCCCAGTGCATG